CATACATATACATTTCTTTTTTTTGATAGATACAAACTACCTCCTATGCGGGGCTTTTTGGGTGGCCGAATGCATCGTCTGCGTTTACCCTTTTTCGTATCAAAGCGATAACGGGTGCAATTTTCTTTGTTTGGAAGTTTTAACCCTCGTTCAATTGCATTTCTCCTTCAAACAATCAACTTCCAAAATGTAATTGACTGGTGTTCAAAGTTTACACACATTAGTGACAAAGCTGGTTTATTCAACTTCCTTTAATTTCCCTTTCTCTGAGATCTAATTCTCCATGAAAGAAATTTTGCGTCGTTATTGAGATTATCTCGAGAACCGTTCAATTAACTGAACAAAAGGATACGTGTTTTGTCCTGAGAATAATATCAAAACCCGCGTGGACTACAGCTGTGAAAAACAATACAGTCGGGTGCTTGGAGCGACAGGTGTACTACTTAGCTGATTATCAACTTAGAGATTAAAGGTGAACCACCGTAGCGGATTTTGAAAAGCTGAAGTATGGAACTTAAGCCTTTCATCAGACAGAGCTTGAACTCTAAGCTTTCCATGGATAAACTCCATCCTAGTGGTGTGCTGTGTACCTCACATGTCCACCAATTTATCTCGATAGTTTCTTTAGAAACTAAAATTTTACAGCAGGTGTACCAATGCCATGTACCTAATGATGTTAAAGAAGATGATCTAATCAATGTATTTCATCTAAGAAGCCATTTTCTTTTTGTTTGTTGCAAGTTCGTTCTTGCTTGGGAATAACATGTTGTCTTTTTATATTTCGTGACTTAAAAAAAACAACTTAAGCTACGAGGGTTAATCGTCATTGAAGTTTTTTTGAGTTGTTAATTGAAAGAAGTTTGTAAGGCAAATTGATTACGGTTCAAAAATGAGGCCAAAAATAATTGGTCCATGCTTTTAGCTGTGCGCACAAGTCGAGTCATGGATGCACTTGAAGAGCACTCAAGTAGCAAAATTTTGTCCCGGCTGCGCCTCGAGCAACTCTTGCACTTCCCTCGTGCTCTCCAAACTTTCCGGGTGTATCCAATTTTTTTAAGTCACAGATCGTGTAACGTACAAGATTGAAAAAGGACGGGTAGTAGGGACCGGTCATTGTCTGGCACCTGGGAGTGGTCAGGGGAAGTTGGAGGATTTTGATTGTTCATGATAAAATTTACCCGATCCCCTCTGTAATATTCTAACACGGCCCCCCCACCCTACCCCCCTCCTCATTGGCAGTTAATCGGAATTCAATTTTCTAAAGTCCCCCTTCACACTCTGTTGGCGACAGCTGATTCCCCCCTCAGTTCCTCCGGAAAACCATGTGAAATCCCCCTTAAATAAACTCTTCCGCCCCCCCCCCCTTCCACCCCCTCCCATGGCGATAAATAATTACCGTTCTATTAGCGGAAGTAATTATCGAACGACATTGATAAGAATTCTTTTTTATCTCTGAAAGAAGGGCAAGACTTCTGAAAAGCTTCTTTGACTGATACCTTTGACCGTTGGTGAGCTATTCTTATAAAATTTGTCTTTACTTTGGGATCAGGCATGCAATTTGTTTTGGGACTTTCCTTTTTCTGAATTTTTATTCTTTTTTCTTTTTCGAGAGTAACGGAAACATTCTTTCAGTTGACAAGCGTTTGTAGCACGGACTAAATTGACACTGACAATAATCTGCTCCTCGTGCAGATAGTTTGCATTGTTTCGACTCGATTGCGAGCGGCGAAAAATTCGATTACCCGGAGCCGGCGACTGAAAGAAGACTCTAAGGACCTGTTTATATGGAGGTAGGGGACCCCAGGTAGGTGAGGTAACCCACCAAGGTGGGGTAACTCGCCTGTGCATATAATTTCTTATTTTATCTTGATAACGTTTACCCCACCTCCATGTAAACAGGCCCTAAAAGAGTTGTACTAGGAGATCGTAGGGACATGAAAAAATGCTCTCGTTTTCAGCCAATTAGAAGCACGGGAGTTTTTCATGTATATCATTACCTTAGTATCTTGCTCACTGTTAGGATTTTCTTCCTTACGATGGTTAGGTATGCATCTCGTGCTCTTTTAGGGTTCTCTTTCATTGGATTATTACGTTAGTATCTCACGCACTTCTACGATTCTTTTCTTTGGAGTGTTACGTTAGTATCTTGCGCACTTTCAGGATTCTCTTTCATTGGATTGTTATGTTAGTTTCGCGCGCACATTTAGTATACTCCTTCATTCGAAAGTTACGTTAATATCTCGTGCATTTTAGAATCGACTTATATTCGATTGTTACGTTAGTATCGTGCGCACTTTTAGGATTCTCTTTTATTGGATTGTTACGTTAGAATCTCGCGCACCTTTAGGATTCTCATTCATTGGTTTGTCACGTTAGTATCGTGCGCACTTTTAGGATTGTCCTACATGAGATTGTTAGTTAGTACCACGCGCAGGATTGGATTAGGATTGTTACGTTAATATCTCACAGACGTTTGTGATTCTTTTTTATTGGATTGTTACGTTATTATCTCGCATATCCTTGGGACACTCTTTCATTTGGCTGTTATGTTAGTATCTCAAACACTTTGGGATACCCCTTCGTTCGAAAATTATGTCAGTATCTCGCGCATTTTTTGGATTGTCTTACATTTTATTGTCACTCTAACCGTGATCTCTTGCACTTTTAGGCTTCTATTTTATTTGATTGTTGCGTTAGTATCTCGCGCTCCGTTAGGACTCTCTTTTATTTAAATGTTTAAATTTATTTAAACGTAAGTATCTCGCGCATTGTTAGGATCCTCAATCGTTCGATTGCAACGTTAGTCTTTCGCTTACTTTCAGCATTTTATACTTAGACCAAAGATATAAACGTCGTTGATCTTGAGGGAATTATTAATATGCTGGCGCAAATTCCCAAATTTACGAGAGCTTTACAGTAAAAACTATCCACAAGCTTCAAGACACTCGACGGGATCTAGGGGTGATCTCAGTTGTGATATTGTCGAACGGTAGGAATATTGTGTCACACTGCCTGTTTTACTCGGCGAAAATTAGTGAAAACGATGATAAACTGATCACTTTGGAAATCCAGATTCCAGATCTAACACTATCGTTCGCAAGGGGCTTAAATAGAGAGATTTTTTAAAACCGTTTGACAATTAATAATGAGTTGCTTTTTGAGGACTGACGGTTAAATTTTAAGGCCTTCGACGGCTGACGGTTAAACCCATTTGAGACTCTCCCTCTTGATATATTTGTCTCAACTTTTATTTACTTTTCTGATTACCTATATTTCTCCGAAATGACTTTCGGAACCAATTGGAATATTCCCAGAGGGAAGAAAGTTAGAAAGAAGTTCGTACATAACCTCGTACCCAGATCCTATCGTCTAATTGTAACTGAACTGTAGGCCTTAGGAAGGTCTGGATACATGCCTAGTCTCTACAAACCTACTGTCTCTCGCATAATTACTTTTTGTATTCACCATCCCGTCTATCACACGTCAGGAATTCCATACCTTAAGCTTTTTCACAGTTTCTCAGACTTCGTTGTTTGTGTGGTGACGACTCTGGTTTTTCCGTAGAATCTCAGTGCCAGTTTTTCGATAAACGTGGCTATCCTATATCTGTCGTTCAAGCGAGCCATCGCCGCCTCCAACAAATTGATCAACCGTCAGCACTACAAAAGGCACACATAGAAAATACCGGTCGTATTCCATTCACTCTCACATTTCACCCTCACAGCCACGCAGTTAAATCTATCATTCTTAAAAACTTTGAATTACCACAAAATGATTCAGAGACTGGTACTATCTTTTCGCATCCTCCACTTATTTCACTTAAACGCGACAAAAACATCGGCAACTCTTTGGTTCATTTCAGTTCATTTCAAACCAAACACCAACCTGGAACTTTCAAATGCGCTCGCTCACGATGCAAAACTACTTGTCCTTTCATTCATAACGTAGAGAAAATGTCGGGACCCTAGAGATCCATCAAGATCACTGATTACTAAAAAGAAAAAAGTTGTACATTGGTGAAACAGGAAGACGTCTAAGTGACCGATTCCGAGAAAATCTTCGCAAATTAGAAAGAAATGACAACGAGCATCCAAACCAGTCGTTAGGCACTTAAATCGCCCCAATCATTCTAAGAAGCATATGGCAGTTTGCGGCCTTTCCCTACATCTAAGCAGTTCGGAAAGCCGCAAAACTCTATAAAACAAGAACTTATCTTTCAAATCGGTACTCTTAATCCCCACGGTATCAACGAGTGCTTTTCATTCAACCAGTTTATTCTCGTTTTTCCCGTTACCATATTTACACCAATAGCGTACCTCTATTCTCTGCATATAAACACACACACACACAATCCACAATTCCTCTATTCGCTCCGGCGAAAAGTCAGCTTAAAAACTATTTATGGTGGCCTATTTATGTTATCAACTCAGTTGATAATACTTAATTACCCTGTTAGTCTGTATATTACATGAATTTTGTCCCTGACGATTTTAATTTCGTCTCTGATCGGCGGAGGAATTAGAATTCAAAGAAGGAACTCCACACCCCTGAATCAAGATTGCTCCAAACAGCTTTTCCTAACTTTGCGGAAAGATTTATCTTGTTATATTAAATTCAATGCATACATTGAAAAAAACAGGTCACTGCATATTCTTTTTCAGGTTAGAAGCTTTTAAAGCTCTAGGTAAGAGTATTTTTGTGCGCCTGTAGTGTTACTAAGGTAACCTTTAATGTGTAAAAATATCTCGACCAGTTGAAAAGAAAGATTGGACTTTTTAAATACTACTCTCAAGGAAACAATCGAAAGAGTGCTACAGTATTAATTCGTATAAAGACCGGTATTGAAAAATTACAAAACCGAACTACAGCTATCAAGCTAACAGACAGCTCTACAAGTCGGCCAAAAGAGGTGCAAATTCAAATGAAGCGCGTATGGTGACGTCATACTTGCCGCGGGCTCAGGTTCGAGCGGCATGACTCGTGTCGAACGGTAGCTTGTGTTTTTAAACGAAAGCGATGGCTTTGACCGTGTGATACCAAATTAATTCATGATTAGTCCCTGTTTCGTGCCGAAAATGAATTAGCTCATATAAGAATCATGGTGTTTGAGTCGTATGTTGTCGATCTTTTGAACAAGTTCGCCGGCCAGTACTTGGAGAATCTCGATACTTCCCAGTTGAGGCTTGGGATCTGGGGAGGTGGGTCGCAAGGGCATCAGAGCTACTTGTAGCTGGATTTTGATTGCTTTGCAAGTTCTTTGCACTTTGATTTTTTTCCAAACCTTCGACAACCACATTTACTGAAAACAACGACTTGTTTACGTTTGCAGGAGATGCCCAACTGGAAAATTTGATTCTTAAGGAAAGCGCCTTAGTAAGTTAAAGTTGTACTTTATGTTTCGATTACGTCGTGTGCCTACAGCATATCCGGTTTTGCCTAAAATTGCACCAAAGCTCTGCCATTTTGGGTGAAATCGTACGTTACCTGTATAGTTATTTTATATGTTAACCACGACTGGGTAATTAGGAGTTTGTGGATATTTGTATTGTCTCCGAACTGCACAGTGGCACCATTTTTTATATTTCTAGCGAACGACGATTGTCCGGATTTTTTCTAGAAAATTCATGTGAGTTGCAGTATTGATAAAATATTATCGAGACCTGTTTAGGTTTGTCTGCTTATTCAGACGTGTTAGTTTGCATAAAGATAACCTGTGTACTTGTTATCTTGGTTTTTTGCGATCGTCGAAAGCAACCGCGATTGCACTTATGGAAAATCACACAACATTAAATTTAAAGTGGAGCCGAAATGTAGCGGATTCATAAGTTCACATATTTGTTTCGTTGACGAAACATTTTGTATAATTATTATTCTATATTTTTATTTTCCTCTTTCGTTGAGGAAAATTAGTAAATAAGATTTATTTTATGGCACTATTAAAGCTTCCTTCCAGTGAAATTTCACATTTCGAGCCTATTAATTTTTCATAAAATTATCATAATTTTAGGACAAATTTATTTTACAATTCAAGCTTGAATTTGTTCTCATATTTCAAAGTGGGAGTCATTGACTCAACTCTATGAATTATCTCAGTTATGATTTAAACTGGTTCTACTTTTTTAAGTTTTTTTGTCAGAAGTGCTTTGGTTCAACAATTTTGGTAATATAGGTTTATTAATTTCATGACAAATTCAAATTAATCTTAATACCTCTCCTGGTGACCATTCTCTCACCTGTTCTGCTCCGAAATTTTAGAGTGGAGTACCACTGGAACATGAAAACCTCAGAAACAAACTTAAGATCTAACCTTTTCTCCTGGAAATTTTTATAACTTTTAGATATAATTTTAATGTTTTCATCTTTATCAAAACTATTAGTGTTAATTTTATTTTTGGTGGAATTAACCTTAACTGTAATTTTTTCACATTTTTAAAATTTCATGCATATTTAAAGACTGTTAGATTATGAGTGATTCTTGGTATGGAGTAGGGAGAGGCCTATGTTTGATTAGCGTCATGCTTACAAAACTAGATTTCAATGTCCACATGGTTTCTGTTTGCATTTGTAAACAGTGCCACAGTTGTGGAAAAGAGTTGGATCATTTGCTGCAGAATCTCTAGGATTTCACAGATTTCTATAAAATATAGTTATGCTATAAGTGTGAAGAAAGAGCAACTCTTTTCTCAGTCCAAAGAATTGCTGCAAGGAACAACTAGCTTTTATTTAGCTTTGCAGCACCATTTGCAAAGAAAATGAAAGTTGAAGGCAGACAATCCTCTTGGCCCTTGTACATTAAGATAGTGCACCTGTTCTTCTGTGAGAACTTTAATGGTGGCACAATAAACATTGTGACCACTTTCTTCTAGAGAGGAGAGGCGATCAATCACTAGACTGCTTGATTTAATAAAGATTTTCCATAGCCAGTTTGTAACAAAACAGAGACATTGTTACTTTTGAAAAACGTGATATCTATGGCTTTCTGTCGTTCTTCTTGAAATGTCGTGCAAACTTGCCTTAAAACCTCGGAACATGATTAATGTCAGGTTTGCATAGACGTTTCAGGGGAGGGTACGGCTACACGTAGGCTAGTGGGTTATTTGACAATGGATTTCTTTTGTTATCAGGATGACCTAGATTTGCCTGTCAAAGTTCTACGTGGACATTTAGGTAGGAAAATGAAAAGAAACAGTCATCCTTTAACAGTTAATTAATTGCTTTTACACCCTAACATCAGTATGCATAGTCCCCTAACTGCTCTTTGTACATTTCCTCTGGCAGTGACAAAAAGAATTTAGTAAGAAACCAACAGCTTTTCAAAATGTGATTATTTCTGTGATTCTCATTGGTTAATGTTTGATTCAGTAGCAATACCTAAATGAGAAATTAGATGCTAGTCAGGGGTTAAAGAGTTAATACCATTTGGGTGAGTGGATTTCAGATTTGTTAACATTTAATTTATGTGGGTGTGTGTTGTGTACTTGTTGTTTTTACTCAGGCAAACTGGTGCTGAAGATACCCTGGAAAAATCTGTACTCAGAACCTGTTGTTGCACAGGTAGATGGACTTTACTTACTTGTCAGACCAAATACTGGTGAGAACTGTTTTTATTGAAGAAATACCCTAAATTTGTTTTGTATTTTAGTGGTAGTCCCAGGGTGCTAATCATATTAATATCATAGTAATGTTCATGGTCATGTTCATGTTCATAATCATGATCATCACCATTGCCATTACCATTACCTTTGCCAGTGCCTTTGCTTTTGTCTTTGCCTTTGCCTTATCATTGCCATTGCCTTTGCCTTTGCTAATGCCTTTTCTTTTGTCTATGCCTTTGCCTTATCATTATCATTGCCATTGCCATTGCCTTTGCCAATGCCTTTGCTTTTTTTACATGCCTTTGTCTTTTCCTTATACCATTTGCCGTTACCCTTCCATTGTCCTTGTCTTTGTATTTGTCTATGTATTTATCTTTGTCATTATCATCATCATTACCTTCATCATCATTGTTATTAACTTAATCTTGATCATATGGACTACTGTTATCACTATCACTGTCATAATCATTATTAACGATAATTTTCCTCAAGTTATTTTGTCACTTTTTTGAGTGTCACTAAATCTGTAAGTAGATAGTATGGTACACCAGCCTTTTTGGTATGTGGCAGTCTTAAGGGATAAGTCAAATTTTAGCGATGAAATGCTGAATACTGTCATCAATTGGGCAACAAGTGCCATGGAAACAATCTATTAACTTTTGGCTGTTGTCTATGTCTAGGAAATATCTGTGTGTGATGGACTCTCTTGTAATGTGCCTGTATCTACCTCTCTGGACAACAGTTATGCCCAGGGAATTGACATTATGATAGTAGTTGTTGCAGCTGCAACCATTAATGATAATGTGTTTGTTGCTCCTGCAGATATTAAGTACAATGCTGAGAAAGAGGAAAAAGCCAATCAGGAGAGAAAGCAAAGACAGCTGGAAGCAGTGGAGCTTGCTCGGCAGATTGAAGAGGAAAAGAAAAAGCAGAATGGTATACCCTAATAATCTATCTGTTTTTAGTTGTTAGGGTCCCTAAAAAAAATTGCCTACTTGTTCATTTACAGGAATGCTAGCTATGCCATTTACTCCAACCACAAGGCACATGGTCAGAGGTTTAGTTTTTTATGATTTTAGGTTGCCAGAAGGTGACTTTAAAAGAAACCTTGGCTAAGAGCCCTGCATAGTGTTGGATATTGACATTGTTACACAAATTACTGCAGACAGCTTTGATTGACTGTCTCTGTCAACAACTACTAGTCAGTAATGGAATTAGTCTGTAATTGATGTGAATAATGATTTTCTCATTGATTACCATGTAGGGCAGCAAAAAGATGAAAAGTCAGACAGTTTTGTGGAGAAGTTAGCCATGCAGATTGTCAAAAACCTTCAGGTGAGTTTGATTAGAAATCCACATGTATCAGTCAATTCCAGTAGCCTGCTTGACTCAACACTGGCAGAAAACCAAATTCTATTTAAGTGAAAAAGAAAAAGAAAAAAGGTATATTCAGAATGATTGTCATTTCAATGTCTTTTCAACTTAAAGATGGTTACTTTTTCTTACCTCTCCAGGTCTCAGTTCGCAATATTCACATACGATATGAAGACTCTGTAAGTACTTGTACATTCAGGTAGACATCAATTTGATTCTTATGCTTCAGTGGAAGTTTTGGCTGGTAGTTCTGAACAGTTTTTCAACTAAAGTTGCAATTTCACTTCACCCTGTGTCACTTTTAATTTACATCTAACAGAAGCAGACAAAATGAATGGAATTGGATTGAATTTCTCTAATCATAACTTGAGGCATGACCTTTTGACACCCTGAAACATGGCAAATTTTTCCTTAGAGGTCTTGCATATGGTTGAAATTGCAAGTTTAGCACTTGGTGATAGAGTGGGCATGACACAGAAAGATGTATTGTTGGACATATCCCATGTTTTTCTCAGGATAATAATTAACCCTCTACACCCTAACATCAGTATGCATATTCTCCATACTGTTCTCTATACATGTCCTGAAGCACTGACTTAGAGAATTTGTGAAAAAAATCAAAAGCTTTATAAGTTGGTGATTATTTCCTTGATTCTCATGACCTTAATGTTTGCTTAATGTTTTGAACATTAAGGTCATTGTAAGGAGAAATTAGAAGCTGGTCACCTGTAGTGGTTAAAGGGTTAATTCTTGATGTACACAGCAGTCACTCTTTTGTGTTAATTATAATGTCCATGTTCATTGTTCTTGTTTGTGTCAGGTTACTAACCCTGCTGCACCATTCTCAATTGGAGTGACATTAGAGAATTTGTCAGCTGAGGTGAGAGCAGTATCCTAAATCCTCTAATATGTCTCTTAATAATGGAGGAAGGCTATTGATTTAAGCAGTTTCCAGACCAGAGGCTTCTAAGAGGTGGGGGTTTATTGAAGAGGAGGCTTATTGAAAAAAAAACCAACCCTGTTGAATGGTGGCCACAATGCCAGCCATTAATTTTCTTTCAACTCCTGTCTGGATTTAAAAAATAAATTTTGTTCAGTATTGGGAAAGGGTGTGGGACCTATTAGAAGGCATGAGTAACTGAGACTTGATGTTCAATATGGAAGGAGGGGACATTAACCCTTTACACTTGGACATCAGGGTATATATTCTCCATACTGTTCTCTACATGCACCCTAAGGTGCTGAAAAAGAGAATTTGTGTAACAATCAAGAGCATCTCTTGTTGTTTGTCATTTCCTCTATTATCATGACCACAATGTGTGATACAGGGGTGATATTGTAAGGAGAAATTAGATGCTAGTCACTTTAAAGGTCAAAGGTTCCGGGGATGCATACAAGAGAGAGGGGGGTTATAGGAGTGTATGTAATGATAGTTGTATACAGTGGAACATGTATTTAGTGGCACTATGCGAGGTGGTCACTGAGTATTTAGCAGTCAGTTGTCAGAGTTAGAAATTTTTCCCTGTGGATCACTGTAATTTTCAACTCTATTAAGTGGTCACCCCTATTAAGGGGTTGGGGTCACCCTTTGCTAAGTCCCAACAGCTTGTTGAGTAACCTGTGGATTAAGTGGTAAACCTGTTTTAAGAGGTCACCCAGCCATTTGACTGGTGACTGCTTAATACAGGTGCGACTATGGAAGGTTCAGGGAGATTGTACTAGATCAAAGAGTATTTTTCATCTTGCAAACAAGGGTTTGCAAAATGATGTTGCTTTGAAAATTTTTAGACCCTTCTCTCCCCTGATGTGATGGCACTGCTATTGGATGCTTTTTTCAAATTTTGTTATCTTCATTAGCTTCTGCCACTATCTTTTGTCCCAGCCAATGAATATATTGCTGATGAGTTTATACCCATCTTTAATACATTTGATAATGAATATTTTGAAAAAATTGATCCTCTGTACAGCTCTTTTGTGCAGGTAGGTTCTGTCAAATAGTGTTAAGGCTTATCTAGTGATGATCACTGTCTGTTTTAGTCCACAGATGAAAATTGGAAACCCTCAATTGTGGGTACAAGTGTGAAAATTGTACACAAGGTGAGATACAGATAGGTCTGAAAATATATCTGGAACAATGTTAATTATGTAAGGGTTAGGTAGTGGTTGCATAGCAAAATAAGTAGTTGGGAGGTGGAACTTGAGTATACATTTTCTGTAAATGGTGCCGAAAATGATGAAATATAAGGAAATATTTACTGCAACAGATGCAAGTGTGGTACAATCAACCAGTGTGGAATTTCATACATCCCATGGACCTCTTGGGGTTCACCTGTGACAGCACACTTGTTTTTACCTTTCCTCCTTATTTCCCATCCCTCACAACCATCCTTCTCTTTCCTATATTTCCCATCTCATAATTACTGCAACTCGCAACAACACTTTTTCTTATTTTTTTGCCTTGTTTGTTAGCTTGTCAAACTTGACAGTCTTGCCATTTACTGGAATACAAAAGATCATATTGGAAAACTGCCAACTCAAGAGGACTGGGTGGTAATTACTTGATTTCTTGATCATAAAGTATCACTGTTTGAAATTATAAAAAGTGTCATTGATGGTATGATTTTGATGCAGTTACTTCTTATGTGGATGTCAAGTTTTCAGCTTTACCCTACTAGTCTTCCCTAGGTGATGAGGGTGATGTGTTTTGAGTTACCTTTTGACCCATGATGTCCCACCATGGTTGGCTCACCTGTTTTGGTGTAACTTGGTATCATCTCAGTACTCTGAGCAATGATTCTTGATCACAAACATCCAGACTTCAATCTTTAATTTTTTCTACTTATATAACATGGTCCATGTTAATGTTGTTGTGTGATTTGCATGTAAAATCCTAAGACTTTGGTTTCATTCCAAAGTGGGTGGTGTGTGGTGTTGTGCATTAGCTCTGGTGGAGTGGTCTTCATTGCAAATAACCTTGTGATAATACTGATGACCAAGGTTTTTTTTATTAAGTTATTTTCATAATTATGAGAAATAATGGTCAAACCTCTTTAGGCTCTAAGATTTGATTATAAAATCTCCCTAAATAGCTGCATAAAGGAATTGTGGTTGTTTATTGTGTCAAAGCAAAGCATTATTACTAAACCTTGACACAAGGAGTCCCTGCATCCTTCCACAATACTAGTATTCTTGCCTCTTATTCTCAATACAATCCTCAATTTATTTACTATAACTTACAATAAATCCTTACTTTATCATGATGGGGATCTGACACAGTTTTACACATAGTTACTCTATATAAAGAACACCAGGGCTGGCGAGGTTCCTTTTTATTAATGAAAATTATATAAATTTGTATACATGTAGATGTGTAAACTCTATTGACATTTAAATCCCTATTGTCTCAACAACTTCTCTTTCCTGGTTAAGTTGCTTAAATTTCCCCCCTTTTTAAATTGAGCACTTTTTCTAGGCAACTTCATGTGACATTAACACAATTTAGTTTAGATCTCAACTTACAGCTTTGTATTTTATGATAGTTTTAAAGACAATTTGAAAATGCCATTGGTATTATTATTAATAGTAAATGAAATTGTGATGACAATTTTTCTGTTTTTTACAGAATCAAGCCAAGGGTGGGATAGCAATCAGAACGAAACAGCATTTCTCTCCTCCTGATTTTAAATACAGTGAGTATATTTTGTGTACTATGTCTCAATTCCTAGGGATTTGTTTGCATCATCACAGCTTGTGCTGATATGTTTTCACTAACCTTTATTCACTCAGAAGTTTTTGATGTTGTACAGTGGCATAATTCTGGAACAACTCAATGTAAAAAACAAGTAGTAGTACTAAAGTAGTCGTACTAAAGTACTACTAACCAAAGTAGTAGTACTAAACTCAGAGTAGTACTACTGTTTTTAGTAGTACTATTAGCTGAGTGATCTTCTGCATGATCAACAATAACAACCAAGGAAAATACAATTATTCACTATTTTCTTGTTGTTAAGTCTTGCAGCCAATCTCAGCCACCACCCAAGTGAAGATGAATATCAAGCCAGGTTCTGATTTGAGTATCCCAAAGGTATGTTGTTGGACTCATGCTGATTGCTTTGCAATAAAGACAGCCATAAGGTTATTGTGTATGACATGACACTGTTGTGTGGCCAATGGTTGAAAGGGAGCAGAAATGGGGAAAATTAGTCATGTTCATTTTAGCCTTAGAAGAGCCAAAATATTGCTCTTTGGGATTAGGAGATAGTTCTTGAAAATCAATCAAGCAACCAGTTGATTGATCCATCAGTGGGCTGGCAATTGAATGGGGTACTGGTCAGTTGAGAGATTATTTTTTAAATACAGCCATACATCAAAATCTTGTCTTGCAGGCCATGTGATTGTTTTTGAAAGTCAACCAATCAATTGATTGATTGATTGATTGATCAGTTGCATAGGGGGTGCATGATTAGTTAAAATACTTGGTCAATAGGTTTAGAGGGTTTTTTTCCATAAAACTACCGACAAATGATGACAGCAGTCTCCTCAGTTGCTAAAAAGGGGCCGCCATGGCAACTGAGACACAGCCTGCTCCCACACACCTGTCAGTACAACGATTACCAAATATGATTATCTTTAAGCAAAATGTGAGAGGTTAGGACAAAAGTAAACAAAGTGGCAAAGTAAGTTGAGTGAATGTATATATCAATGCACTCTGCAAATCTCTCAGTATCCTGTTCATCACAACCTTAAAACTACTACAATGGCTTGGTTTTACCTTGCTTAAATTACATTCAGCCTCAAGTAGAATTTAATCTTTTCATTTATGCTTACACATTATTTTTGTACCATGCAGATTTTCTTAAGCTTGGTCTTGGAAGAGATATCTCTAGTTTTGATGAGACAGCAGTACCATGATATGATTGAGTTGCTGGAATCCTTCGACAGAATGACCACAAATTCTGTGTTTAGAAAGTACAAACCAAATGTCCCTCTCCATGGACATGCTGCACAGTGGTAATTTCATCTCACATCTGTTATTTCTGTTATTACCTGAAATATTGAAAGCCTTGACTTGTCTACAAACTTGGGTGGAGGAATTTGATGCCATCCTTTATGCTGTGAAGGTCTTGAGTTAGCATTACATTTTTACTCCTTTTGGTCAAAATAAAAGAGCTGAGTAGTACCTCCATGTCATTGAATTTGAGTTTAAGCTGGAAGCTCTTCCAAGCTTTACATCTCTTGTTACAGTATAATTTTTGTGCATAATTATATGTAATTGTAATGATGTTATGCATTCTACATTTACTTTGGGTACATTGTCTATGTTGCCTCTTGGAAACAGGTGGAATTATGCAATTACAAGTATTCTTGAGGAAGATGTTCGGAGGAGATTAAGAAACTGGTCCTGGACACACATGAAGGAACACAGGTATCATTGTCGAATGAGTTCTGACTAGAAATAGTCTATGATTCTCCTAATGGAAACTTGATTTCATGCCTTTCCTTCTTTCTTCAGGAGTCTCTGCAGGGAATACAAAATTTTGTACAAGAAAAAGTTACTGGAAGACAAAGCTTCTGAATCATTGTCAAAACACCTAGAGGTAGGTCAATATTTACCTGGCATAGATGGCAACTTTCCACCTTGGGATTTTATTATTGCATATTTACTCTGTTATAAAATCATCAATCTTCAGGTACTTGAGAGCAAGTTGGATGTGTTGAATATCACCATTTGTAGACGCCAGGCTGCTTATGAGGTTCGTGTTGATAACAGCAATTGTTGTCTTGTTTTATCATTTCTGTAACATTTTAAGTTGCTGGCCTTTTTGTTAAGTCTGCAGCATGCGAGTAAAAGGCTCTCATCTGGGGAGCTTGTATGTTCAGTTGGTTTCCCTTTATGAAGCATGAAGCAACATGGCATATTTCTTTTCCCATCAAATGGGATGCTAATCCTTTGCAGGGTTCCCCCTCCCTCCCCCATGTCCCCCTCCCCCTTCTCCTTGATAGTTTGCCACTACACATGTATACTCTTAGGTTGGCAGAGACATGGTAAGAGTAAGCCAGGATGGGGCAGTGGTTAGAGTGCTTGCCTCAAACTGCTGTCTTAGGGTTTAGTTTGTATTGGTTTTTTTGTTATTACTCCAAGGGTTTTTCTCCAGGTCCTCCAGTTTTCCTCTCTAGACAAAAAACAATGTTCCAAATTCCAACTTGACCTGGAAACAGTGGTCAATAAGAGCTACTTGGCCTTTTCATTAGGCAGCAGCATCTTTGCAAAAATATAGGAGTTCACTTTAAGTTTTGCATCAAGGGAGCTGTAGCATTAAGGAAAAAGAAGAAGAAAGTGGAAGAGAAGAAAAGTGGCAGTTGGTTTTCTGGGTTCTGGGGCTCCAGTAAAAAAAGCAAGAAGGAGGAGGATAAATCAGGTAAGGCTTTTATCTTAAGATCATTGTTTAAGTACCATAGAGTGCTGAATCTCATGCCTACAAGGATTAACAATTTAAATGAAAATATCTTCACTGTTATCTAAACAGAAATTTTAACTGAAGATCAGAAAAAAGAGGAACTGGAGAAGTTGTACAGTGCCATTGGTTACAGTGAAGGAGAAACCATTACAGCATTCCCCAAGGAGGTACTTGCTTAGTAAAAGAACCCTTTAAAAAACACTATGACCTAAATTTCTTACCATCTCATGAAAAAGGCAGCAATTTGACTGATATGTCTTGACTTATATTTGCCTTTGAAGAAAAAAAAATAACCAACTGTGTTGTCTCTACTGTTTGTTTGGCCCAAAAATCTACAGTAGCACCAACCAGCCACAAAGTTCATATATTTGCATTGTGGTGAAGAAATGAATTTAAGAGATCCTTGCTGATAGTAGTTGAAAATAGGACCTGAAAAAAATTCTGGCCTGTAGGGGATTTGAACCCATGACCTCTGCGATACCTGTGCAGCATTCTACCAACTGAGCTAACAAGCCAATTGGGAGCTGGTCAATATGTTGGGTCCAAATAAACCATCTAAGTGATGAAAAATGATTGAGCAGAGGTCATGGGTTCAAATCCTGTAAGGGCCTGAATTTTCTTCAGGTCCTATCTTCAACTACTAGATCAGTAGTGTTCTTAGCTGCGAGGATCTCTTAAATTCGTAGCCACAAAGTTATTGACACATGACATTTTCAATCCCCCATTACTTCATTATTACTTCTTTTGTCTTTTCTTTGTTAACCTAGTTGCCCCCTTCCCCCAAAGCAATGTCTTATCTGGCTTACGGTATCTTTTAGCTAAGTGGGGCCCTGTACAACAGCCAACATTGAATTGGGGAGGGGATTCTTGTCAAGAATTTAGAGTTAGTGCAAACAGTAGTGTTTTTCTGCTCATAAAAACATTGTTTAAAGTGACACAATGTTTCAGCTAATTTTAATGATTATTGTCTCAGTCTTTAAATTTATTTTACTTTATCACCCCTATAACTTTAAGTACTTGGAGCATCCTTATTGTATTATTATCTAACAGTATTTTTGGTTTTTACCTGGATTATTTTGCAGTATGTGGAAAATAAAGTTGAGGTGAAATTGAAACAGATTAGTGTGGCTCTAAGAGATGATGCAGCTGTCAAGTGAGTATTGAATAAAAGTGTTTCTTCAGGCAAACTTGCCAGAAAATTGATTTCATTTTCTCTGAGCTGATCTAGCCATGAAAGTATGTGTTGCTTCTGCCATCATTTTGATAATAAAGGTATTAAAATAGAATGTTGTACTTGTTTTAACCCATACAAGTGATTGATATGAAACTTCTTCCTATTATATTCATACATTATCCAGCAAACAGGCCATGAGAATACCCAAACTTATTAGGTAGAAGTTGTTAACTTGATCTAACACCAAATTCTCATAACTAATTTACAAGAAAATGTTTAAAAGCTAGGGGGGGGGGAGAATCAACAATCCCATCTTGGGAGTTGAAGGGTTAACCTGAGGTGAAATGGCCTAACGTGCGAGAAACCTGTAGAAACTAGTAATGAATTTGGTGTTAGCTTTGTATCTACATGTAACTGGTTGACAGGATGGAATGAGTTTTCTTGACTAATCTCACAGTATAGTAAAGCAATAGTTAAGCAGTCTTAGGTTACTGTTAACACTCAACTGAAATTTCTCAATGCAAGTTCCATTTCAGAGGAGTGACAATAGCTCCCTTGAGTTTTGTTATTTTGTATTTCTTATAGTGAAAGAACATCTTAAACATCATCCAGACTGTCACTCCTCTATAATTTGTAGGTTGCTCTGAAAAATGTTTAGATCTTTTTAGGGAGTTTTTCCAAGCTAAATGAAGCTAGAATGTGATGAGTGACTGTCTCCCCTGTAGGTTAGTTGATGTTGCCAAACTGAGTTTCCAGGATCTTTATGCAGAGCTCTCCCAAAGACCATCAGCACAAGCAATCAAGTAAGTTGAATATATACAATTTATAGGGATGATTTTGTTCTAGTAGCAGAAATAGTGAGAAACCAAAAAAGGTCAAATAGGAATTCTTTCAGGAAATAATTTTTGTTCTAAGGATTTGAAAGTTTTTTCCAAACCTCTATGATTCAGGGAAATTCTACACTTTCACGTCTTTTTTATTTTTGAGTTTTTTTTTCTTATCTTGAGAATTTTAACATCAGATCTGTTGAGCCAGAGTGTATAAATTTAAATTTTTTTATTTCTAAAGCTTGCTTTAATGGGAGATTACGTAAGGTGACTAGATTCTAACTATCAGAAAAGGTGAGAAATTAAGTCACCAAGTTTGCAGCCACAGACAGCTGTCCTAACCTTGTAAGGCCTCCCTAGCATGGCATAGCTTATAAGGTTGCCCAAGGGTCCCCACAGAGAAAAGTTAAATGAGATACAATTACAGAAACGTAGGATTAGGATATGATGCTAAAATGGTTAAGGGAAGTTTTAAGGATATTAATGATAGTGACACTTTGAGGTAGGTGTCTCCTTATTTTGACTTTCTTGTTTAGGCTGTCAGCAAAAGTTGACCAGATGAAGATGTTTGGTTCAGCTAATGCTGTAGATGGAAAAATGCCGCTCATGATAACCTCTCAAGATGATAAACTAGGTACATCACTCTACATGTTCCAATAAACATTTTTTAATTTTAACAAGCTGACCTTTCCAATATAATCTCTAAATTTAGTTCTACTCTAGGATAATCTGAGATAGAATTTTTTTAGAATTTTTTTAATTCCTCTAGTCATTATTTCAGGTAACTTGTAAATAATGTTTGGGGAAGTATTTTGATCACCAAACAAGAAATGGTCCATCTGCTCTTCACTGTTTATCATACTGTGTTCTCTTTTACTATTGATGGAAAACCTAATATAACGTAACAGAAAAAAAAATGTGTTCCTAATCTTTGAAAATTGTAATTTCTGACGTTTGAGTGACATGGGAACGAATTAGTCAGAAATTATTATTTTGTTGGCACGTTGAAGAGGTTCGCGTGGTATCATGGAAGGGTCGGATTATTAAAGCATTTTCGCAGGAAAATTAAGTCATTCTAGGTCGGTCAGTCTTATGTTTGACCACTTTCTTTGTTATATTTTACTCCTTGTTAAATATCATCACAATCATTGATTTTCCTTTGTGATTAGTAGTCCAACCAGGTTAGTTTACTCTTTCCTCGGGGTATTGTGCTGCTGCATTTGATGAGGAATAAGTTTCCACACATTTTTTGGCCACATCTAAAGAGTGTTTTTTCAGTGGTTTTTCGTATCTGGTGTAGCACAGGTTCTTTTTGTAGAACCCCTAGTTTCAGGGTGCACATGTTAAGATTGTATCAGGATGGGTATACTATAAGACTGACTGACTCATCCTAAATAAACTTTTCACATTGAATGTCTCATGTGAGTGTAGTCAGAATTATCTGCCTGAATAAGCAGTATGGCAACATCTTTATCTGTTGTAAGCAAACAAGTTGTTGCAACTAACATGGATGTTTTCTTTTACATCTTGGATAGCAAGCCAATATGATCTTTTTACTGTATCGTTTGAGACCAACCCATTGGACGGAAAGTGTGACCAGAGAGCTAAAGTGACATCTCAACCTGTCAAAGTTGTGTATGATGCCGTAAGTTGTAAAATATTTTATAATATACGCACCCCCTAAAATTTGAAAACTTAGTTTGTAGATGGAGTTCTATTACCTTAAGCCAGCAAACACCCGAGATGTATAATTCTGTCTAGTGAAAGAAGGACTGCGCTGTGCAGAGCATTGGTAGAGGTAGAGCATTGCAAAAGAAAGCTTCAATTGAAAATTACACCTGGTGGTTAAAACGCAGATTTTCTTGAATCTATGCTGGCTTAAGCCTTTTACCCCAACGAGTGACTAGTTATCTAATTTCTCCTTTCAATATCACCTCTGAATCAAACATTGTGGCCGCGATAATAAAGAAAGTCATCACTGATTAAAGAGGCTCTTGAATGCTAAACAAACTCTCTCCTTGTCAGCACATTAGCAAATGTATGAAGAACGTTACTGAAAGAATATCTTAATCATAAGTAGACATACTGTGGCTTGTTCCTTTTACCAAAGGTGGATGTTAAATATTTTTTTTGCGCTTTCAATTTTATTTGCAGAACACAGTGGATCATATCGTCACTTTCTTTACACCTCCAAAAGATGTCCATCTCCAGGAGTAAGTGCTACACTATAGTTTAATATGTAAAATTTTTGTAGTATTTTTTTCCACATTTGCTCTTCAACAATGACTTTAAATTACATGATTGTTCAATAGAAATCTTTGCCTTGAGCAAGAAAAATATTCATGTGTAGCAGACCCATTCGAGATTTCTTGATGTCACACTCAAAACACAAATCCTCTATTTGTAGTGTTGAACTAGTTTAGAAAAGTAGGGAGATTTGATGTCTTATTTCAGGCTGTCAGCCGAGGCATACTCAAGACTAGAAGATCTGAAGTCAGTGTCCAAAGCAAGTCTGTACTATGCAATCGAACACCACAAGGTAATACTTTTCTGTTTTTGTTTATGACAAAAATTCCTTCCAACCTAACAGATTCTAGTGGATTGTTATACAGACGTTAGTCACAGGTGTCAAAGATATAACTCCTCACAGGAAATTTATTCTCCGTCCCATCCTCATAACGCCCATGAGAGATCTGTGGCATATTAATGAGTGCAGGTCTGCGCTAAAGCTTTGTTGTCCTCCATGGTGTTATAATCATGGTGAACTCTTAGAGTATTCTATCCACCCAGGATAATCGATCCAGGCTTCGGGTAACAGAAAGCTTTCTGAGGCACAGGGGCACACTCTGAGTCTCCTCAGAGACAAGTATAACTTGTGACTTAGCCATATGTGGTCTTGAAAAGTGCTCTTTTGATGCGACCATGTTGAACTTTGTTCAAAGTGTTAAAGATTGTGTATACCACAGGTCTATATGGGGGTAAGTTTCCAAAGAAACTGTGGTATTACGTCGGTGAGAGAGTAGAGCAAGGTAATTTGGTATTATCAACTGAGTTGATAACGTAAATTGGCCATCTTTGAGAGTTTTAAAGTGGACGTTTCGAGCGCTTCACTCTGAAGATTATACCAAATTACCTTCTTATGTCAATATGGTTTGGTTTCCTTATGTTAACTTGATTCTTGTTGTACAAGTTAAAATAAAAAATTTATGAACAACTATACTTTTTGCAGATAACAGATGTGGATGTGGATGTGAAGTCTCCATTTGTCATCATACCAGAGGGAGGCACCTTTAAAAAGTAAGTTGTTGAATTGTGGGGTGCATCCACTCGGAAGAGGGTGCGAAGTACTTTGCAACTTGTGGTTTTATGGTCATGTGATCCCCAACCTTTTTAGGATAAGGTGAATATATTGATACAACAATTATGTTATCCTTCAAATGTTAGTACGACATGAGTATAGGATTCCTCATTCCCTCCACTGGAATAATATGCCAACATGTATGGACCACCAGCCATTCCAAGCTAAGTTTTGTGGTCAATCAGGCTTAAGAACTGTTTATTGATGAAGTTATATTTTGAACTCTCGATTTGTAATTAAACATTTCCTTGGTGTTTTCTCTACTGCTGATGATACTAAATTGGTCCTATATTGGCTGATAATGCTACATTGGTTCCATATTAGTCCAACATTGGTCATACATTGGCCCTATAGTGGTCCTATGGTGGTCCTTTAGTGGTCCTTTATTGTTCCTATAGTAATCCTACATTGTTCCCATATTGCTCTTAACGTAACGTGGATTTAGTGAACATTTTTTAATATTACTCTTTATTAACAGGTCAAGCAATGTGCTTGTCATTGATCTTGGGCATGTGAAGATCACCAGTGATCCAGACCAAGAGAGGATTGTATCCACAAAGGTGATACTGACCAGATAATTTTTGGACCACTTCTATGTTTAAGATGTTGTTCAAGAGTACTTAAATTTGTGACTCGCTTTCATTATTCCACTGAAAAACTTGGGCTTTAGTATCGGATTCGAAGAATAATTATTGTGTTTTAAGGAGAGGCTATCATGTGAAATACAGATTTTTAAAATGCACCATTAAGAGAGGGTGAATCAATTTGCAATTTGGGGAATTTACTTTAAACGTGCATTTTATTTACACTCGGGACGTTCTAGAGAAACATGGAAACAGAGGAAAAATAACGCAGATTGGTAGATTTTCATACCTTTACTACTTCCCCTCCATTACCTGTACCATTGATGGCAAAAAGTCATTGAAATTAAGACTTTTAGAAATGTCCAGGTGCTACTTTTGATGTCACACATTTAATTGGCTTGATTATTTTTACCAGGATCTAAGCGTGGAGGAGTTGGAGTCGAAGTGTTACGATAAGTTTGATTTTAAACTGGAAGACCTTCAAATCCTCATCGCAAAAGCAGGTAATGGTGACTGGGTCTGCACAAAATTCTGTGTAATTGACAGTGTATCCCGCCCTGTGAAAACAGCTATTGCTAGAATGTTAATTGCCTACATGCCAGATAGACAAGGATAATTTGTTCAGCAACCAACAACTTCTTAAGTTGGTGATCATTTCCTCTATTCTCGTGGCCTTACTGTTTGATTGTTTGATTCTGGTGTGATGCTGTAAGAAGAAATTAGATGTTAGTCACTCTTAGGGGATAGAACGTTAATGAGTATGGACGTTTGACGTAAAGTCTTTTTATTTTATTTTTTGTGGTAGATGAAGACTGGCAGGCCGCAAGGAAGCAGGTCAACTCTAAGATGCATATTCTAGATCCGATGGGAATTGACATGAAGCTTCAGAAAGCATTAAATCCTGACGACATCAGGCTTGCACAGTAAGAATTGTGTTATTCTGGTTCTTCTTCTTGTATTTTCTTTCATGAGATCGGCTTTGGTGACCGCTGACCGTTGACCGTTGAATCGCTGTGTTGGAGATAGATGCAGATATGTTTGATGTGCGCCGAGCAAACTACTCATGTTCCTCGTGAATGTATGTTTGACTGCTATTTCTAAAACAGGATCACACTCTCTGGAACCCTTCCAACTGTAAAAGTCCATGCCTCTGATGAGAAGCTTCTTCAGGTTATTAAGGTGTGGTGGAATAGCTTAATAAGGAGTAGACCTTAGTATCTAAACAGATTACGAATGAAAGTAGTTTTTTTTTTTAGCTTGGTTGTTAGATAAAGAAAGGTGTTGTTCATTCGTTATGAACATGGAATAAAGACAAATTTTGATTCCCACAAGGAATCGATCTGAAAGCCATCAGAACTCGCGGTCTCAGGCTCTACCACTATTTTACCCTTTGAACTCTAAGATTGGTATTCGTATTCTTCATACTGTTCTCTATACATTGCCTATGATACTTTAATGGAGAATTTGTTCAACAATCACTGTTTGATTCAACAATGATGCTGTAATAGAAATATATAAATACTTTTAAAACATATGCCCCCTTCCCCTTGTCAAGATTGGCAACGAGTAAACTGGAGAACTCGAAAAAACGTAATGTTAAGAGGTTAGCGGGAAAGACTGAGGTTCAAATCCCGTGGGGGACTCTTCTTTGTCCATTATCATGACAAATAACATTTTCTTCAGGCCTTTGAATTTTGTAAAAATGTGTTGCCTTTCCAGGGACATTATGTCTAGACTCTCCCCATGATTGCATGACTGCAATCAACATTGTGGTCTCGCTTACGGCTTTGTGACATTGAAAAACCAACAACAACAGCGCAGAACAACCCTGATATTCTCATGTGAGATTGGTGTAATCTCAAAAAAATTTCCTTGAACTCTTTTGTTGTCTTTTGGGTTTCAGCTTGCTGCCAGCATCCCAATACCAGGAGGTGAACAAGCTTTGAAACAAACGGATAACAAACCAATGGTATGTTAGAAACTACTAGATATGTAGTGGTCGTTTTTTAACTACTACGTGTGCTTTGATAAAAGAGAGATTCATGACGATCTGGCGGAAATTCATTTAAAACATACTTATATCGCATAAACTGGGGTTTCAACAGGGATTTCCGGCTTTGAGAAAGGCCGCAGCAACACACGTGAAAAAATTTTTTCACCTGTGTTTATATAGCCAATCAGCTGCTGACACGTCACTCGCCTTTGGCGCCACTCGGTCAGGTTGATGTATGATTGGCAAAGCCTTCACGATTCTCAATATAAGTTGTCTGTTGGAGCTTTCTCGAACTGCAGCGGCTAAAAAACTAACAATCCGTATCGCTGACAGACTGAGGTGCAAACTTTCTTAGAAGGGGAAGGAAACTAATATACTAAAAGAAAAACCGAAAGTTACATATTCAGTGGCCTTGGTGTTAGCATTTCTCTCGGATGAGAATGAAAATCGACAACTGGAAGATTTGCCACTGGCCGATTTTGGCTGTTTACTTGAAATAATTCTTCTGTCGGTAAGGACAACGTCAATAAATAAGAATTTTGCAAATTGAAAATTACGACCACTGTTGTCTTTGTAATCATAATTCAACGCATTTTTCCGTCTTAAGAGTCAGCGCCAACGCACTCTACGATTGTTATTCGGGAATTGTCGATTCATTTATTTTCATTCATTTAATGAAGTCGGCTTTTCTTGTCAGTAAAGGGCTATTGTGTTCCTATGATAAACAAAATAATACATGGTTGCTCGTAGATATGGAATTTTTCTACTTGTGTTCAACTCGACTTCTTACTCGTGAGCTATTAAGTGAAATACTTGAAGAGAAATTCTATATCTACGCGCGCCCGTGTATTATTCCCTATTTAACTACTTATGTCGAATCCTGAGGCAACATTGACTTTTTCTAAATTTCTTGTTATAGGACATTCCTGGTGAAAATCGCCGGTATGCAACTGCAAGGGCTGATGGTGACGTAACACAGTTGGGTGTTTTGGAAGGTGCTACAGGAGAACAAGATGACACAGCTGAGGAAATGGATGAAATATTCCAGACGCCACCTGAAACTCTAACCGGGTATTGTTTAGTTTTATACAGTTTTTTTTTTCGGTTGGTTAAGAGGTAAAAAGGGGAGAGTTTCTGAAATATTTGTTCCCCAAGAGACCAAATTTGATGGTTAAAAATACGGCGTAGAACCATAGAAACACCTTTTTTATTGAAGACTTTGGGGCGTAAAACCCACAAACTCTCTAATATTTCATTTCCCAATGTGTTTTGCCAAAGGTCGGCTACCTCTTAATTTGTATCATCGAAATTTGGCCAATCAGGAATTGTTATTACAGTATTTTCAGGTATAATATTTTCCTTCTTTTTCTCCCGTAGAGAATCCAGCCTTGAACGAGCTAAGAGTGAAGAAAAAAAAGCTATGGCCCAACAAGTTAAAGTTTCGCTCAAGTTTAAGATAGAAGAGGTGTGTTTGAGTATTTTTCATCGGAGTTATCTTCTTATTCTACTTAAGGTTCTGAATTTTTTAAAGTTTACAGAGGAAGGAAATTTATGAGAGTAGTTTTTGACTGTGTCGAGAGTAATAAAGGATTGTTCTGTAATTGGTCCAGAGAAGTCAACCAATCAGTTGCAGAACTAAAATCAACCATGGTAATTTAGTGTTATCAACTGAGTTGAAAACGTCAATTGGCCTCCGTAAAGAGTAAAAAAGCTGACGTTTCGAGCGTTTACCCTTCGTCAGCGCGGTTGGCGAAGGGCTAACACTTAAAACATCAGCCTTTGAACTCTTTACAGTGGCCAATTTACGTTTTCAACTCATTTGATAACACTTAATTACCCTGTTACACTCTCCCACTGACGCAGCACCACAGTTTCTTTAGAAACTTACCCCCTAAAATCAACCACGTCTCGGTTATGCATGTTTTCCCGCGCTTCAGACCGTTTGCTTGTTCACTTCCCTAACCGAAAAGCGCTTTTGATGGATATTGATGTATCTACAAGTAACAGAGTTGTGGAGAAGTTATTTGTCTGCCAATTCTAAGTCGAATTTGAATGAGGACTGTTAAATTTTGTCCTCCTTTAGAATAGCAGTCCCCAGTTCAACTAACTGATCTTGAACTTTTTATGTTGTATTACAGATATTCGTTGATTTTAGCACAATGGATAGTGGAGGGAAATTGACGCCTTGTCTTGCGCTGCATGTCAAAGGCCTGGGTACCGATGTTGTCATGCATCCTTGGGATCTTTCAGCAAGTGCTTCTTTGTCTTCTCTGGCCATAGTGGAGAAGATCCATGGGACTGGCGGAGGTCCTCTTTATCTTGTACAGACGCCTGTTGGGGCAGAGCTACTCTTTGTTAAATTTGTTATGGTAAAATACCTTATCTTGTGAGGTCTACTGCATGTATTTAAGACCCAGTTTTGACCAGTATGCATTACGTGCGGCGTTGGCCATCGGTGGCCGTTAACTCGATGTTGATTATGCCACAAGCTTCGTAAAAAACAATCCAGGCTTCACTTTCGTGAAAACCATCACGAAAAAACAGAGGTGCGCAATGCACACTGAGTCTGTAATGATGTGGGCCTATGACAAGCCCCAGTAAGCCGGGAATTCATGGCAATTTACAGATTCATTTGAGGTCGTAGAAGGGAGTACGGCTAATCTTGGAATTAATGAAATGACTAATCTCTATACTTGGGAAATATTGTTCTGCATGCTTAAGAATAAAGTGAAAAACAAAACGTTATCCTGAGTTAGAGGCAGTCAGTGTTTGGTAATTTGAGGATGTGTTGTTTTCAAATTTATACAAATGGTACTCTCTATTCTCATCATCAGGATGCAGATGGTAGAAATTAGTTCTTTTTGTCTTTTGAGAAGTAGTTAAATAGTTGACAGGAGATTTATTGTTTGTGGTTGTCACTTCCGTGCTTACACGGTGTAAAGGTCTATATCTGCAGCACTATATCTGTTTATAATTGAAGTATGAAAACCCTGGACCCTAAAGAAAGATTTGAGTTAAATTTCTCCCTTCAGAACCACCCCAGAATCGTATTGTAAGTCAAGAACATAGAGGGATTGATAATCAATTCGAGAAGCTCTTGATTGTTAAACAAATTCTCCTTGTCAGCATCTTAGGAAATACATAGAGAACAGTGTGGAGAATATGCATACTGATGTTAATGAGTAAAGGGTTATTTGCTGCTTTTGATGTCAATTTTAGGTGGAATCAGACCACCCAGAGTACAGCTCAACATTTAAGTCCACTAAGCAGTCTGTTACTGTGGAATTTTCTTCACTGCAAGTAAAACTGCATCAAGAAGCTCTGCTCAACATCATCGATGTTTCAGCCAAAATGCTGCCGCCTAGGTGCTGTAATTTTAATGTAGCTTAAGAACGGTTCATGTCTACTCTGTTTTGGCCTTAAGCCTTTTACATCCTCTTATGTAGAGACACTTGGCTTTTGGAAACAGGCAATTCCAATAACCCGTAATTTGGTAACTGATAGCGGAGCTCGCAGCGCGCGCATAGTTATCAAAAAATGGAAGTTACTGTAACCCATCAAGCTAAAAAAAATTTAATGAATCATGTAAGGAAAGTTATCCGTCATTTTTTCTCGAACACCACAGATTTTATAAGTTTTTTGCAAATCACGTTCTTAATGTTTATCTATCTATCATGCCCCTTTTGTATACACGCAGTTAAGCTTTTCAGCTGCAAAGCATTATTGTAATAAACATATCTATATGTCTTTGTGACAACTCTCTCTCCACCAGTTGTCAATTGAAGAAACGTTTTTTTTTCTCTTTTGCCAGTGAAGAGACTCCAGCTCTATTACTTGTGTCTGCTGACAGTACAAAAACGGAAGGCAGAGATGAAAATAAAACGTCTGAGCTATCTACGCCTAAAGGCAAAAAGAAGAGAGATAGTAAAGATGAAATACAGATTGAAGTGACGGCAAAGCTGGGAGGAATCGATGTTACAGTGACATCTGTTGAGGGTGATTTGACGCATGTAATTATTGGAGGTGAGGGGTTTTTTACTCAACAACCATAATTTGGTAATGCATAAATGAGATGTTACAAATTACCCATCATCATTTCACAATTTTTGTAGGGGAGAGCTGGGGCAATGAAAATTACACCTTTCCTGCCCCCTTCCCCCTCCGTCCTTTCTAACTCTAAATCAAACATGGCTAGTCGGCTAATGAGACGCTGCACTACAAGGCATGATACGATATGTTGGGCTTTTGTTCAATATTATTTTGAAGGAAGCAAGTGAGCAATTGTGTTAGTTTCAATCCGCCAAAGAATTGGTATTAAAAATAATATTTTCAGTCTCTCTTGAATTTACTTTATGTACTCTATGTTTGACAAGTTCAAATATTTTTCTTCACACAAAGATTTGTCCGCTGGCTGTGTTGTTAGAGACAGCAGAACAGACGTTATGGCCAGGTATGTATGACGTAATTGTCTTAGTCAATATCCCTTTTTCTCTTATCGCGATCAAAATCACTCAAACTTTCCAGGTCCAAAAAATTATCGTTTGATAGAAAAATTTTCAATTGCGTGTTGAAAGTAATCCAGGAATGTTCTGGTTTTGCTTTATTTCGTTACATGATTGGTCCAGCAACTCGCGCCACTTCTTTAACCAATCAGATTCAAACTAAAACCAATCGTGACTTGGTCACTTGCGTTTTCCCGTGCTTTAGGCGGTTTGCTAGTTTTCACTTCGAGTTCTCATGGGCTCCTTGTGATATTTTCCTGGCAATAATTGGCTGTTGTGGTTGCTTTGGTTTTGGTTTTACGACACTCAATCGAAAAGCTTTCTAAGAGTATCTGTTTCATTTCAGTATGAAAACTTTGTCAGTGATGGATTCTACTCCTGGGGCGGTATATCCGAAGATAGTATCCCTCGTGAACGAGGAGGTGTTTAGCCTTCAGGTGTGTAAAACGAGAACTGTCTATTTCAGACATGGAACTGAGTGACAACAAGATCATATTAATACCAATTTAGTTTGAGATTTGTTCTGCACCTTCTGTACTACCACCAAAGAAAATTTCCTCCCAGGGGCCTTAAAGAAACCTCACACCAATTCTTTAACCAATCTCATGTAAAGTGATTAACCACTCTCAACCTGATTATTCACGTTTTTTTGCGCCTCTAGCAGTTTGCTTGTTTTTGCTCTGAGTTCTCATCAACTCCTAGTAATATTTTGCTCTGTTCTGATTGGCCATTAATTGAGATAACTATGATTTTGGTTATACGACAATCAATGTATAAGGGTTCTTTCATGATCGTTATTGCTGTTTTAACCAGTGCTGTTATTAACTTGAATTAAGAGTAAAACTTTCTAATTTTATTCCAT